CATCCTCTCAGAAGCACCATCCTGCAGAGGAAGGGCGGGAATATTGAACAGGATGCTCTGAGTACAGACAAATATCATTGTGTGCTCTCAGTTGGCCCTCCTTCACTGGTCCTTATCGTATCCTACCAGGCCATGCAGGGAAGTGTCTGCTACTCTCCTTCCCACATGTCAGTCTCTCTGAGGGCTATTTCTCATCATCTCACCATGACACATCGACACGATGATGACAAGACTGTGTGGGCCATCATTTTGGAGTCTGACCTTCAGAAACGTTGTTGTTGTTAGTTACAAAGACCCATGGTGTATGGCCTGGAGAGAAGGCCCACTTGGTAAAGCACTGTCTAGCAAGTATGAGGACTTGGGTTGACTCCACAGAAGTCTGGAAAGAACTGGGTGCAGAAGTGTGCTCCTGTAATTTTCGGGATGATAAGATGGGAGGCACAAATGGACAGATCCTCTGAGGGTGTATCCACCCTACCCCACCCACCACACAACCTGTGTGTGTTACTTGAAGAAGTAGAATTCAATGCAAGTCAGGGTCACAGTGGAAGGAAGTGTGTCACTCTGATACTCTCAGTTTTGTAGAATGCGAAGAAACGAGTTCGCGTAGACCAGAAGCATGAAAACTGTCTGGAAAGACATTAGAGACCAACAGCAATTCCCAAGTTTTCCCCTCAGCCCACCTGATTTATCATGCCTCCTTCAGCTATCTGACCTCCAAATTCTTCCTGCAGGATTTTCTCCCCACAGCAGCCAAGGTTCCAGATCCAATTCCAGATTCCTTGGACTGAAGTTCTGATTGTCCCAGCTGGGGGAAGATAGCCATGTCTAGTTTAGTCAACTAAGATCAAGTTGTGTGTCACTGCAAAGAGTACCAGATCAAAAAGACATTCATTGTTTAATAGTCTAGAGTAATCCAGGTCTTGGGAGTTGGAGACAGAATAATTAACCTGAAGTAACCAGTAGCCAGCCTGGGCTACAGGAGACTTTGTCTCATAATACTACCAAATAATAGTAATAATAATAATAATAATAATAAAATTATGTGTTGAGAATAGGGGTGTCGATTGGCTGAAGGAAGGCCCAAAACAAATTGGCATAGCAAATAAATCATTTTTTCTTTCTTTCTTTTTTTTTTTTTGTTGTTGTTTTGCTTTTTGTTTTTGAGACAGGATTTCTCTGTGTAGCCCTGGCTAGCCTAGAATTTATTATGTAGAAGAAACTGATCTGGAACTCACAGGGTTTCTCTCTGTAGCCCTAGCTAGCCTAGAATTCACTATGTAGAAGAGACTGGTATTAAACTCACAGGGTTTCTCTGTGTAGCCCTGGCTAGCCTAGAATTCACTATGTAGAACAGACTGCCCTTGAACTCCCAGAGATCTGCCTGGCTCTGCTTCTTCAGTGCTTGGATTAAAGGTGTGTGCCAACGGGTATATTTCTGAAACAGAAACAAATGTGTTTGGATTATAGGCAACCTAGTAAGTTGAAATATTATGTGAGTTGTAGTATTTTCCTTAATGGACTTGTGTGTGTGTGTGTGTGTGTGTGTGTGTGTGTGTGTGTGTGTGTGTGTGTGTGTGTTTAAGGATTGTTTTACTTTCTGTAGGACACATTTAGAATTAGTTCTAGGGTAGTTTTGCAAAAGTAAATAATTTAAAGGAACACATTTCTTTATCCTCCTTGCCCCCTTCCCCAATATGTCTAACTAGAAAAATGGATGGGGGTATTTTTTGTTTATTTTGGTTTTCCCCTCTGTTTCTATGTGTTGCTGGGGTTGTATTATGTTGTGTTAGGGGGTTGTGGTTTTAGTTTAGCATTTTGTTTTTGATACAAGGTCTCAAATTCTATATGTAGCCCAGACTATATCCTTGAACTCCTGGGGATTCTCCTGCTTCAGCCTCCTGAGGACTCTGTTCACCACTATACCTGTGACTTGGAGACTCGGGGCCTTGAACACGTTAGTCAAATCACTCAGCCACTGGGTTATGCCCAATCACCTTATTCACATTTGACTTGGTTCTTTACTTTCTTGGGTAATTTTGAATAAATTATCCTAACATTTGTGTGTCAACTTCTTAGCCTGTAAAATGAGGATGTGGCCCTGATGATGTTATGTGCAGACCTTTAGGGAGCAGGGGGTTGAAGCGGGTTCTCTTTATGTCCCAGGCTGGTCTCAAACTCTTATTGAGTCAAGGGTGACCTGGAAGTTCTGATTCTCCTGCTGCTGCCTTCCCAGTGCTGAGGTCACAGGCATGTGCCACCATACCCAGGGTGTGTGGTACTGGTAAGCAAACCCATCACTTCATGCATGCTAGGCAAGCTCTGTCTCCTCTTAGCCATCTCCAACCCCTTTGGAGGATCTCCCATGAAACCATACACATAACGTACATTGCCCAGCTCAGTGACCAGAACTAACCCCCATCCATTTAGCCACCCTAGGTATGTATTTGACCTTGGCATTGACTAGTTGAGAGAGTAATCTGTGACCATGAACTAAACAAAGCTTGTCCATTCACCTCTTATCACCAGTTCTGTGGTTCCTCTAGGCCATGTGTCTATAACCCCCTGGTCTGACCCACTAAACTAGTTCACAGATGCTTAAAACAGAGTTCAATCAAGACTATGAGTACATAAATGATGTCTTGCCTTGCAAACTCGTTACTTATACCAGCCTCTGCTGCTTCATCTATTAGATATGGATAATAAAAATAATCGCAGAATGTGTCATTATAGCTCGAAGGTATATGTATTTGAGACAGCTAGGACAACGTATGTACACAGCTGGTATTCAGTAATGGAGTCTGTCTTGTTCTTGAGATAGGGTCTCACTATGTTGCTCAGGCTGGTCTCAAACTCCTACACTCTAGGGATATGCTCATCTGTATCTAGGTGTAGCATGTACCACTAAACTCATTTTTATTAATTTATTTGTTCATTTTGAATTTTTGAAGGAAGATTTCATGTAGCTCAGGATGGTCTTGAACTCATTATGTAGCCAAAACTTATCGTGAACTCCTGTCCAGTGGGACTGCAAGTGTGCACCATCACATCCAACTCAATTTTTCTTTACAAATAGGGTTCACAAATGTCTGAATTTTATACAGTACCTGAAAGGAAAAGAATGTTTTCCAAGCTTTTCAAATGTACCCCCAACAATCCCACATTTGTGGTCAAAAAACAGACATGAAGACTTCAGTGAGCCATTGTTCATATCAGGGAGATGCAGGGGACAGCCTGGATATCTCTTAGAAGGAAACTCAGAGCATTATTAGATAGCAATACACGATGCTATGTCACAGACAATGAAGAAAAATAAACCCCTATAGGGAAAATTTCCAAGAAATATCATTGAAAAATACAGGAGGCAAAGCCATGGGTATAGCTTAATCACACTTGAATCGAAAGTATATGTGAGTGTACATATTTACATGGATGGATGGTTTCACACAGATATGGGCGTTGTTTTGGATGGGTTGTTTTTTGAGACAGGGTTTCTCTGTGTTTCCATGTCTAGCCTAGAACTTGCTCTGTAGACCAGGCTGGCCTCGGAACTCAGAGATATCTACCTGCCTCTGCCTCTGCCTGGTGAGTGCTGGGATAAAAGGCATGTGCCACCACTGTCCTGCAGTAACATAACAATCTTAAATGTGTTTAATACAAATATATTTATATTATATAATAATTTTAGTAAAATGTAAATATGGAAATACAAGCCAGTGGCTAGGAATTCGGTCAGTGGTAGAACATTTGCCTAACATGTGAGATTCTGAGTCCAATGTCAGCACTGCACAAGAGGGGAGAGAGCATAGATAAAGAGGGAGCAGAGGCTTCTATCTGTAATCCCTCTGCCCAGCATGCTTAGGCCATGAAGTTTCCAGTTTAGGGCCAGCCTAGACTACACAGCAAGGCCCTATCTCAGAAAGAAAATGCCTGTAATTATTCATATCAGAAGTGTGCATAAAGGTGGCCTTCAGGATGCCCCTCAATGGGACAGAGTGGTGACATCTACAGATGCAATGGTTTGGAGTGTAAGTTTATCAAGGGAAGGGTCAACATTTTACAACCAGTATTTCCCAGCACTGCAGTTTTAAATTCTAAAAAAATTACACATTGAAAGCTGTTATGTCAAATTTCAACCACACACCTTAACTGCTAACTGTAGATGGTGGTCTATTAAAAGGGGGCAAAGAGTTCAAAAGCTGAGGCCTTTGCGTTTGAACTTCAGTCTCGTGTTTCTTTTTCCCCTTGTGTCATGTAAGTACCACATTTACCAGAGCACAGCCATGATCAAAGGTGTTTCCATTTGTGAAATGTCACCATGACTCCAGGAAACATATGCTTTCTTCTGGGAGACCTGCTTCTCTCCACATGACCTTGTGCCCTGTGTGAACTTGGCCTACTACATGGGCATTAGTTTTGTTGTTTCCCCCAGACATTAAGTAGTCTTTGCTTTTCATCTTTTTCTCACTTTAATTCCATGTGAATGCTCCCAGTCATATCCAACCGTTTGATGTTGTGACACAGAATGTTGTCATCTCCAAAGCCCCTATTCAAGAACTGTGTAATCTAGTTATTTAAAAAGAAATCTCATGCTGGGTGTTGGTGGCGCACGCCTTTAATCCCAGCACTCAGGAGGCAGAAGCAGGCGGATCTCTCTAAGTTTGAGGCCAGTCTGGTCTACAGAGCGAATGCCAGGATAAGATCCGAAGCTACACAGAGAAACCCTTTCTCAACCCCCCCCCCAAAAAAGAAAAGAAAAGAAATCTCACAATGTCTGAAGTGTGATTTTGCTTTGGGTCACCTTCACAGCTGTCCTTGGCCTCATGCAGCACGCACATTGTAGTTCAGTCTACAGACATTGCAAGTATGTTGTGTGTCTGCTTCTGGGAGGCCCACCTATGAGCTCACCGGAACATGACACATACACACGATTAAGTGAGTCTGCATTTTGCTGACAAACTGGGCTCTGACATACCTCTCCATTTTTTTTGTCCCCACAGATGACAGAGGGCAGGCACTGCCAGGTTCACCTGCTGGATGACAGGAGACTGGAACTGCTGGTTCAGGTAGGTATTGGATACTCTGGGGTAGCCCCTCCCTGCCCTCTTTGGAAAGTGGTGTCCTGTGTCCAGGTTGCTCACCTAACTGCCTAGAATTCAATGCTTGAAGGTGACTGAGGGGAAGAGGTGGCTCTGAGGTCAGCAAACCTGGTCTACGCTTGACTTATTGTAGCTTAGTCTTCCTGGAAGAATCCTGGCAAAGTCAAGCTGGTTTATATGGATGAGTGGAAGCTCTTTGTAAATGCTGTATGAGTCTTATCTCTTTTACTTGTTGGTTATTTTCTTTCTATTTGCCCAATATCCTGAACCAAAAATTTTTTTAAAAGGTTGAATTCCTGTGGATAGACTACACCTATGACTAGCCTAGATGCCTCCCCAAGACCAATCCTACTTTACTTTCTCATTGAGTCTTGTCTCTCACCCATTTCTCCCACAATGCAATTAAAATACATAGGGCAGGAGCTGGAGAGGTGGCTCAGTGGGTCAGAGTGCTTTTTGCTCTTGTAGAAGATCCAGGTTCAATTCCCGGCACCAACACGGTGCCTCACAACCACCCAAAACTCCGGGTCTGACCTCTACAGGCACCAAGCATGCTCATGGTGTACAGACATGCATGCAGAAAAACACATGTAAAATAAAATGAATAAGTCTTTCAAAAGAATGAGAGGTATAGGACACAGCACAGTTTAATGCCTGCTCCTCTCCTTCCTCCCCACTCGTTTCCTTCCCTGTCCCTTCTCTCCTCTCACTATCTTTCTCCTCCCTTTCTTTCTATCTTCCTTTCCTCCCCCCCCCACCATTTCATGTCCTCCAACAGCGACATCCAGACTTCAGACAATCATCATGTACCCTGACTGTTAGGCTCAGGATTCAGGCTGATACCCAGTGATGCCCTGGTCCCTGGTTCCTGAAGGACCAGCATCAGTCATCAGTTGGATGATCTGGCAGATTCCAAGCCATATTCCTCCCCACCAGGCCCATAGTATCTCCAAACCTCATAGTAGTTCTTTCTCATACTGGGTTCTCAGAACTTAGTGGTGATAGTGGCATAAAGCATGGTATTTGAAAAAAAAAAGTCACACAAGCATGCAAAGGTTGCTTTCGATGGTTAGGGCAGGAAAGGGTGATAGCAATGGGAGAGATGGGAAAGGAAATCGCTCATAATCAGATTTGTGTTTTGACAGCCCAAGCTTTTATCAAGAGAGCTGCTGGACCTTGTGGCATCACATTTCAACCTGAAAGAGAAGGAGTACTTTGGAATAACATTTATAGATGACACGTGAGTGTTATGGTTTTTCATGTCTTCACCTTTTGCCTGCACAACGCACTTGCTGATTCTCATGGTTGGCAACAAGGGGGAATGTATCTGTATCTTATTTTGCTGTAAGTGTCCCAGCATGGAAATGCTTTTCCTGCAAATGTCATAAAGGAAGAAGAAAAGGAACATGGAGCATTTAAAAGTTTTGCAAATACCGCCAGGTGCGGTGGTAAATGCTGTCATCACAGCACTCAGGAAACAAAGGCAGGATGAAGGATGCAAGTTCTAGGCCATCTCATCTACCTAATGAGCTCCAGGCAAGCCAGGGCTAAGAAGCACAATAATGAAAAACAAAGACAAAAGAACCATGTGTTTAGAAATGTTAATGAGTTTGAGTCTGTGTTACTGGTCTTTGAATGTGTGGCAATGCTCCCCAATTCACTCATATATCAGTGATGGAGACACTAGGTTGTCATTCACATGTGTCATGAGGCTAATTTAATGTTTTGGTGTTAATGGTTAGAAACTTTAAAGCCCAATTTGTGACTCGCCTTAAAAATGTATTCAGTTGAATACGGAATTAACCTTTACCACAATCTAAGTCTCCTTCATGTTGTCCTGGAAGCTGTTTGTGTGTTTTCTGTCTACTTCTAGTCTTTCCATTAACATGTTGGCATGTCTGTGTGTTCCTATCTGTCTGTCTTATAGCAACCTAATTTGTCTATATTATATGTGGTCTGCTATGTCATGAGAGGAATCTTTCCCTTTTCTGAAGATATTTTCCAGAGTTCCTTAAATACTAAAGTTCAAGAAAATGTGTTCCAGAAATAAAATATGCTGGCCAACCACCACGTTCTTTCCATAACTCTCTGTGTAAGTGGTTTTTCAGTTGTTCAGTGAAACCAGGAGGAAATAACCTCAAGACTTAGTTTGTTTTTAACACCTTGTACCGACCAATGATTTCTCACCCAGGACCTCCACAAAACCTAAAAAAAAAACCCTCAACTCAGGCTGCTAAAATCCAGATACTTTTTTAGAGATGTACAACCCACCCATCCACCCCCCAAAAAACCCTATAGTAAACTCAGAATGTTTTCTGAAGATGATTCACCCAAAGCAGGAGGGAAATGCAGTGGCCATCACCCTCATCCTCTGATCACCCAATAGCTGGTCATCTGCCCTCTGCTGGATAAACTAGGAAATCCATTGTCCACAAGTACTAGCCAGAAAGCCACAGCAGTTTACATGAATCAGTGATTGAACAGCCACACACGCATAGGCAGAATCTGTGTAAGCATGAAAGTATATAAGACCCATGGGCATAAATACATCATAACTGGATGGCATGCTATGAACTGTAATTGGCTGTGGACACTGTCATTTAGAAGGAGATCATATCTACTTGAAGTTAAAAGCCTGAAGACTAGAATAATGTGTTCATTTGTTTAACAAATGTTTCCTGAGTGTCCACAAGCTACCAGATGGCACTCTAGGTCCTGGGGAATCAACTTTGAGCAGCGCAGTTAAGATGCCCTGCTTGCAAGCATTCATATTGCAGTGCTGTGGTCTAGTTTAGCAAGCAAAGAGATGATGAGAAAATACAAAAAACTGTAAGTCCACTGAGACCACATGACGGGCCATCTGAAGAAAAGTTGATGGGGGCAGTTTTAGGCAAAGTGGGCCAGGATGATGTCTGGAGGACAGCATGCATCGAACATCAAGAACCAGCTCTGCAAACAAAATGTCCAAAGATGGAACCCAGCTTGACTTACAAGCCCGTGTTTTGCTTTAATATGATATTTGTTTGTTTGTTTGTTTGAGACAGAGCCTCATGTAGTCCAGTCTGGTCTTGAACCCCCAGCCCTCCTGCCCCTGCTTCAGTGTTGGAGTTTTAGAATATAACACTATGCTCGACTTAGTTTAATTTTTTTTTTTTTTTTTTTTTGGTTTTTCGAGACAGGGTTTCTCTGTGGCTTTGGATGCTGTCCTGGAACTCACTTTGTAGACCAGGCTGGCCTCGAACTCACAGAGATCCGCCTGCCTCTGCCTCCTGAGTGCTGGGATTAAAGGCGTGCGCCACCACCACCCGGCGACTTAGTTTAGTTTTTAAGAAAGCTAGGGGAAGCCATTGTGGCAGAGTACTGAAAGCAGGTAGGAAAGAAGTCCAAGATTAGGGAAATACCCAGAATCCTGTAGCTGAGTGATAGGACAGCAGAATTTGGTATCGCTGACACCCATGCGTCACATCTATAACCTGCACATAACAATAGTCCTTATATGGTGACTACCCTGTGAGGGGCCCAGAATAGAGTGCTGGCATTCTGGACTTCAAGCGTATTAACTACGACATACAGAGTCCAGAGCAAGAAGGCACGGGAGTGCTCTCGCACAATTCTCTCGAGAACAGGGCCCACGCGACCCGCAGAGGGGGAAACAAACATACCCAGTGATCTTGCTCAGTGTGAAGACACCAGTCTGAGGACTAAGAGGCGAGGAGAGGACAAGATCCCGGGTGAGCCGCATGCGTCATGGAGACCATGGAGACGGCTGTGCACCTCCAGCCACTGAAGGACGGTCTAGGGAGAAGGAACAGGGTGTGGAACTACAGTGTCAGCACTGGAAAGCAGGGTCCGGAGCTTGCAGTGGCCTTCTGGGGAAGCCCCAAGCGCAGTGCCTTGTCCAGACATTCTCACTTGCTTCCGAGAGAAAGGAAAAATATCTGAGCGTAGTGCTGCCTACCTGTAATCCCAGCACTGGAAAGGGCACCACAAACTCTAGGCCAGCCTAGGCTACATATAACACTCTACTGAGAAAGAAAGGGGCTGGGGAGAGGGCTTACTGGGTAAGAGGGCTTGCTGTACAGTCTTAAGGACCTGAGTTCTAATCCCTAGGACTCATGTTTAAAAAAAAAAACTGGGCGTGGCCACATACATCTGTATAAGGAAGAGGAAGCAGATTGTGGGACCTTACTGGCTGCCAGCCAAACTCCTGATGCTATAACAAACCCTGCCACACGGAGTAAGACAAAGAGTTATAGAGCAAGACGTCCACTGCTCTCTTCTGGCATATATATATATATGAACCTCCCACAAGCATGTGCATCACACACACAAAAAGAGAGGTGGGACAGTATGAATGACTTCCTTGGAGGACTTGGACCACCATCTTCCTTGTCTGGCCTGGGATTGGTGGGCTCCCTTCCAATATACTCTTGGGCCACAGAGGATCCCAGGAACCTTGTGTACCCCGACTCCCCTACAGGTAACAGACAACACCTAATGTCTGGATTACAGCCAGCTGGGGAAGGTGTCTCCTGGCTCTGTCTGTGTTTATTTTGGGAGTATGAGTTTGTCTTTTCTGGGAGAAGGAAGGTCTTGGCCATTCCCACCTTTCCCAGGAACAAGCCTGGAAACATGTTTATGTCTAAGGGTGTCTCTTTGGAAAATCTTGGTCAGAAATTTAGTTCTTTGTCTGGTAAATATTTTTGGAAGGTTTTTTTTTTCCTCCTGGCACTCCCTTTCTGTCCACCCCCATGAAACCACCAAGTCGATCCCTCCCAGGGCACTGGCTGAGTTGCATTTTCCAGTCCTAGTGCCACATCAGCCTTGAGACTGCAAACTCAACAGAGGAAGGCAAGGCTGAAAGGGACAGTGTCAATGAAACTAGCAACCATTCTTACCTCGGCTCAGGGAACCAGAAGAGAAATGGGAAGACAGACCACCGTTAAGTAACCAAGGCACGGGAAGACAGACCACAGTTATGTAACCAAGGCAGCAGCGATGCTGACCAAGGAAAGAAAATTCCTGACAGAGAAGGATGGAATCCGGAGGCTGAGGCTTCCCAGCTCTGTGTGCAGGGTGGTCCTCCACCCCTAGAGGGCAGCCTCAGCCCTCCTTTCCCACAGGGACCTTCTTTCACCATCCGTTCACCCACTTTGAAAAACTTGGCTGAGTGACCTTTGTTGATGAAGAAACAACAAATAGGCTTTCCAACACAAGATAGCTTTGGATCCTTGTCCACTTTGGTGAGCCTGACACAATAGGGCTTCCGCTGTACAGAGTCTGGACCAAGGAGAAAACGTGGCTTGTGGTTATGAGTGCTTGTCTTTGATCTTTTTGTTTTGCTTGTTTTTTTTAAATTAATTTGATATCATCATTATTGATGAAAAATACTTAAAAACAGAAAGATAAAAACATTAAAGGAACCATATTATATCTTAGTATTTAGACATAGGTAATTTTTTTTGAGAACTTCCATTCTGTTAACAGGACCATAAACAGACTTCAAAAACAATTTAAAAATGCAATTTGCATATTAGTGGTACATGCCTATAATCTCAGCCCATCATAAGCTGTTGCAGGAGGATCATGAAATGGAAGCTGGCATGAAATATGAATATTTACTAATACATATACATGAATTCGAGTATTTATCATGATTAACGTTAGTCTTTTTTGTTACCTCCCCACTCTGGCTGTAGTTTCTTCCAAAGAGGTAACCAATATTCACAACTTGTTCTGTATCTTTCCAGAATTCTATATTAAAGTGCTCCTCCATGTTTAATAGTGTCTTGAGCCTGTTTTGGCAGCGTTTAACCTAACTGGAATGTGTTGTGTATGTGATATTCCACTTGCTTTATTCATTCTTACCTAATATTTAATGCGAGTTCATATAAAACATGTTACAAATTTTAAATTATGCCACATCTTCTCTTTAACGAAAGAATGAAAGACATACCCACTTGTGATGATGTGTCACTCACTCAGGAGGATGAGGGAAGAGGATTGATGGGCAATGTCAGCCTGGCTGCAAAGGGAGACCCTCTCCAGAAGAAAAGAATGAAAAAGAAAAGGGAAGGAAGAGGAAATGCAAAGGAAAGAGGGGAGGTGGAGGAACAGAGAAGGGGAAAGGATTCAAAGTTAGTCTAGTCTGCTCCCATGAAACCTTGATAGACTTCAAACTGATGTGCCACATATTTTAACACTTGTTAACGGCTTTGAAGTCCAAGTGTCTGTAAAAAGTATCACATAAATCATGACAAAATATAATGCAAGAATCCTTTAACTTCAGCCTTCTTTTGTTTTGTTTTGTTTTGTCTTTTTCAAAATCACGAATTATAAGAAGTTCCCTAGTGTTCCACCAAGGAACTCTTGGGGAAGTTCCCAGGATCCTTAACGTGTAGTTATAAAAACATATACACAGAAACTGAGCCCAGTGTTGTTATACAGGGTAGGAAATCCCTTGGTATTGTGTACCCATATTGAGAGCCCTAGATTCAAATCCCAGACCTACCATCTTCCTACTATATTTAATAGATAAAGATTTCCAACTTGGTTGATGTATGTGAGGGGGTCACAGTAAAGAAAGCACTGAAATGGCCACTCCATCGAATGGCTAAGGAGTTATTGTAAGAGGAAGAAAATATCCAGAGGCATCCAGAAGAGTCCAAAGAAGAGAGTAAAAGTAGACTGGACATGGCCAGGATTATCTGTTAGAGAAGAGGGCCAGTGGGGGAGATCAAGAGGAGTGGGCAAATCATGTGGGTTATAAGGACAGTACTGTGGGGAGGGAAGGGCCAGGACGCTAGCTTGCATGGACTTTGAAATGTATAACAAGGATCTGTGAATAGAGACTCAGGCACTTGGAGGCCAGCATGGGCTTTGATGTGTGTCCATATATCCATCAATGGAGAGCCTTGTCGATTCTGCCAGAAACCAGGGGAATGACTACCTTGGAGATGGGAGGGACTTGTTTTACAAATCCCAAATCATGCTGGCTTTTATATGACCTGACTGCCAGAAATCCTTCTATAGGCCAGCTTGGTCTCATTTCTAGACACATGAACTGCCTGGTACCTAAAAGTTGACAAAAAGTATTTGCTCCATAAAGAGTAGCTGTTATCGTTTATACTGTTACCATTTGTACCCACACTTCCTATGTGCTTTGTTTCTAATTCTTAAAGAATATTGTGTATATGTCTGTTTTACCTTTGTGTGTGCATGTGTACTGTGTGCATAGACTGTCCACAGAGGACAGAAAAGGCACTGAGATCTCCAGGACTAGAGTCACATACAGATGGTTGGTTAAGAGCTGCCGTGAGGGTGCTGGGAACTGAACCACAGGCCCTCTGCAAGAGCAGCCAGGGTACTCTGCTGCTGAGCCATTTCTCCAGCCCCCTTTTCTATATACTTATGGAATGGCAGTTTGGAATTTCCTGAGTTTGTCTTTTAATTGTTTATTCAAGGACCAAAATAGGCTGGAAAATGCTTTCTAGCTCGTAACAGATTTTGCTGGAATTCAGCATCCCCTTCCCACTGCCAGAAGCAGGCTCTGAAACTGGATTTAGTGTAAGCACATTTAGGCAGTCTCTACGATGGATGGGCTGGTTGAAGAACCTTGGAAATCGTGTAAACAATCTACAGAGCATCAAGCCATAGAGGTCAAGGTCTTGAGAGAACTGTTTATATCTGTGAATTGGCGAGGCTCGGGAGCACATCAATATTTAAACATCTGTAAGTCACATGTCCACAGAAATAGCTCCAGAGAGTGCCAACCTGTGTCTGCATTGAAAATTGAAGTGTTGTACTTGACTGGAACCTTCTTCAAGATTTCTTAGCTAAAATATGTCATATTTAACCTTTCATTTAATATTTCATATAAATTTAAAGATTAATTTAGTGTTGTTCGGCGTCTTACTCTCCCAAAGTATTATCTGTTTCTTATTTATTCTCTCAGTTTTTCTTTAAGTATGTGCATGCAGTTTGTATGGTTTCCCATTGATTTTAAAAATGGGCAAGCTAGGCATTGTATAGCAGACTGGCTACAGCAAGACTCTATTTCCATAAATAAAAAGCAATATAGATAATATATTGAACTTACTGTTATTCTCTTTATTAAAATTTTCAGTTTATTTTGAGACAAGGTCTCACTGAATAGTCCTAGCTGGCTCAGACTTATATAGACCAAATTTGAAGTAGCCTCAAATGCATAGAGATCCACTTGCCTCCAGCCCCATTGCTTAAATTAAAGGGGTACATCACCATGCCCAGGGAATCTTGCTTTTTTTTTTTTAATTTAAGGGGATTGGTTGGTTGGTTTGTTGGTTGGTTGGTTGGCTGGTTGGTTGGGTTTTGAAGACAGTGTTTCTCTGTGTAACCATTCTGGCTGTCCTGGAACTTGTTTTGTAGACCAAGCTGACCTCAAACTCAGAGATCTTCCTGCCTCTGTTTCCCAAGTGCTAAATTTAAGATTTGAATCTAGGAAATAGTTCCAAGCAACTTTGCAAGCAGTCTCTCCAGCTTGTTTTAATGACTGCATTTATTTCTCTGTATAGACTTAGATCATTACTTTAACAATACCTTATAAATATTTGGGGATATTACCAGACTATCAAAATGAATGATTTTACATATAGCTCATTTTTCAAATGTGCAAGTTCCTCTTGACAAGCTCCTTCAGTTGGAAATGCTAGCTCAGAAGTATGTGTTCAATAGGTTTGACAGAAATTGCTGAGTTAGCCTTACAGCCTGTGGTATCTCTGCCTGGTATGTGAGCATGGCTGTTTCCAGGCAGCTTTACCAGTACTGTGTGTTCCTGAACTTTCCATGACATCCTTTGCCTTTGCTTCTTCTCACAGGGGTCAAGAGAACTGGCTGCAGCTGGACCACAGAGTTTTGGAGCATGATTTGCCTAAGAAACCTGGCCCAGCTACTCTGCACTTTGCTGTCAGGTATGTGTTCATACATTCAGCATCCCCATCCTTTTTGTTTACTTTATTTTTATTTTTCAACAGTTCTAGTCATCACAGATAGTGATTTAAAAGAGAATAGACCCCAATGAGAACACAACCATGTGAAAGAAATTGTCTACTGTCTTGGTCTCGGTTACCATAGATACTGTGTAGAGTTGCTTTCATTGAAGATAAAGGAGGGAATCATCTTGCTTTATTCCCCAAAGATTCTTAGATTAAATGTAAGGCTGAAAAACCCGAGAGATGTATTTTAATGTTTAAGCCTGTTTTTCTTTTCTTTATTATTCAATAAACTGTTAGGATTCTTCGAATCTGAAGTCTGGCAAACATTTGCTGTTACACTTTATGTTGGGATAATGTGTGCTAGCGATGTGGAAACAATTGAGTTTTATGCAATTCCATGTCTTAGCTGAAATGGAAGATACAATGCAAAACAAATGCCCAGAGAAAGAATCCTAGTAGCTCAGAGATCAAAACTGTCTCTTGCAGGGACAGACAAGGGTAACTCCCACAGCCTGTGCCATGTTCTGTAAGCTCTGTTTGGGCAAGTCCCTTAAGAAGGGACTGAAGCCAATGCATCAGTTAAATCAGGGATTTCTCAGAGCTGGCCCAGAAAAACATTTGAGCCTTAACTACTACCAATCTAAGAGAAGAAAAATGTTTGAAGACTAACCTTCTCCCCTTAGCTTAAGATACATAACTACCAATGGAGCCCAAAGTTCCTTCTGTGGTAGCCCTGCCCCTGCCTAAATTCTAATGAACAGCTTCACAAATAAATTTTTATTGTGGGTAGATTTTTCAAAATCGAATCTATTTTCATAAAGCTGATTCAGGAAAGGCACTTACTGTCAAGTTTGATACCTGGAACCACCCCGGTGGAAGAAGAAAACCAACTCCAACAGCTGTTCCCTGACATCCACATGCAGACACACACAGACGTGCGCGCGCGCGCGCCGCGCACACACACACACACACACACACGTGCGTGCACACACACACACGTGCGTGCACACACACACACTAGATAAGTGTAAAAATCATTTTAAGCTAATTCAAACAGAAGAATACTCTAAGACCAAGTTTAATTTTAATGAGGAAGACACATCTCATTTTATACTATGACGTTGGGAACCCCACCTTGTAACACAAATATTAAAAACCCAGAGACAGGTACGGGGGAGAGGTTCAAGCTGAAGATCAGAAAAGCTAAACAGCCAATCACTGGCTCTACCTCAGACTGAAAGGGCAATCATCGCTCGGCTTTCCCCTCCTTCTTCCTTGTTTTTCTTGCCCTGTTCTCCCCTTCTCCTCCTCCTCCCTTCCCCCCCTTTTGTCCTGCTCCTTCCTATAATGTTGAGGCAAAGTAAGTCATGAAATTTTACATGCACTATTGTTTCTTTACTTCATGTGCTCCACAAAATTCAGAAGCACAAAAATACTTGTGTCTTACCCCTTTTCAAATTGTGCTTCTTATATGAATCAACCACTGAGAGTGGTTGGGCCTTGGCTTGCATGTAATTTGTTCACGGCCCTGGGGTGGGAGAGGGGAGTCTTGTCCCTGCTGGTGTCCATTTTCTGGGGGCAGGAGACATGGCTCAGTAGTTAAGAGCCTCTGTGGGCACCAGGCAGAGACACATGGGCAGGCAAAACACATAAAATTAAATTTTTGATTCTGAGATCTGCATTGAACTCTTTCTCTTGCCCTTAGCTCTATTTTTTGTTGGTTCATTTTTAATGGTGCTGAGGATTGAATCCAGGGTCCTGCCCATGCTAGGTCTGTGCTCCACCACTGAGCTGAGCACCCAACCCCTCGGAAGGTTTATTAGTGCCAAAGAAGGAGGACACACAGAGATGACGTGGGGAAGTGTAAATCACAGCATAGAGAAGCGCTCAAGTGCCATCATGAAAACCTGGAGTTTTACTGAAACGCAGTGGTGAGGGCTTGTGTACCCAGAACGGAAGGAAAGGAGGAACAAGCAAAAGCAAGGAGGATGCTGCCTGTTAGCGGTTGAGCCGGAGTCAGACTAGCTAAGGGAAAGTGGCTCGAGGCAAATGAGGTACCTGTCCGTAAGGAATGAAGTTCTCACTGTGAGCGTTTCAAGCTCAGACAATACAGAATGAGACCTTCCTCTCCACCAGCCTCAGCCTCCACCTCCCTTTTGGTTTCCCACCTTAGAGGAAAACTGGGTGGGCGGTTTCGTGGCTTACAGTTGGTATCTTACTAAGGATGGAAAGTTCTGTTTCTCTGCCCTTGCACACTTCAGCTGTCCTGCCTCCTGTAAGCACATGTGCTGCTCCTGGCTGTGTCCAAATCTGAACACCATCGGCATCTCTCCTTCCACGCTAATCTTCGGGTACACTTGCCATTTTCTGCCACGTCACAGCTCAGCAAAGGCATTATGTCTTTGGAGAATCTTAACAAGTGTCATTTATTTTGTGACCACATTTGTGTGCCTGTTCTTTGACAGCTGCTGTGGTCTAGCGAGTGTCTGAAAATTCCAGAGCACAGATCCTGCCTCCCTTCCTGGCTATCTTTCACAAAGCCATGCTATCTTTTCCAGCAGGTTCCTGGGATTCCACAGCAGTTGCTGGCTTGTTCCTGGGGCATCAGCCCCTACTTAGCATGTTATCTCAAATGTCCTGTAACCACTTGGTGTTAACTTTCTCCTAGCTGCTAACATGTTTGAAACCCTTATCAAGGCTTTAATGATTCATGTAATTCATCCTTCCAACAAGACAGAGATATCATCATAGCCTTTATTATTCCAATTAAGCAGTTGTTGTTACTCTGGTTAAAGAAATGGTAATGCAGGATAGAACTCTCTGAATCCTGAATGGGCTTCACTGAGGTCACAGAGTGGAGGATCCTAGTGCAGGGACAGCTAGTGAATGATCTTTGTCACACACACCTACCTGTTCTTCTGAGGGTCTTACACCTCCAATTGACACAGAATTGCTGGTGACATTCCTCTCTGAGGAAAGAACCCAACACAGGTTACCTGTTGTGGCTAGAGAATGCAACCAGGGAAGTCAAACTAGAATTAAAATATATATATGTATGCATGTATGCATGTATGTATGTATGTATGTATGTATGTGTATGTGTGTGTGTGTACGTCAAACTAGAATTAAGTGTGTGTGTGTGTGTGTGTGTGTGTGTGTGTGTGTATAAAGCCCAGGTATGATGATGCTCACTTGTAATCCCAACTCCAAAGAGGCCAAAACAGGTGGGTTCTGATGTTCGCTGGCCAGCGAACCTAGCCTGATTAGTGAGCCCCAGGTAGAGAGAGGCTCTGTCTGGGCACTGGGTGGAGGATGGGGATTGGAGACGTCACAAACACACACACACACACACAGGACTCACAGTCACACAAATGCAACCAAAGGTATTATTTGGTTGTTTTGACCTTTGGACACTATAAAGGTACCACAAGTAATGTGCTGTGGTACATATAGGGACCCCGCAGGCATGGATACTAGGTGATGTGCTAAGCACAGGGCCCCTCATATGTGGATGCCAGGTGGTGTGCTGGGGTACAGAGTACAGGGACCCTTCACACATGGACATACATCAGTAACATACTGGAATACAGAACACAAGGGCCCCTCATGCATGGACGTCATGTGATGTTCTAATACACAGATATGATCATCTAGATGATGAGTTAGCACACAGTCAAAAAGGATGCACAGCACTGTTATTCTTAATTCAAGCAATTGGAAATACCCAAATGCTGGCACTAGAGATAGGAGGAGCAAATTCTGGCATCTCACAGCAAGCTGGAAGGAGGAAAGAGCATCTGCTATGTTTCGGTTCCTCCAGAGGAAGAACTGGGGCCCGAGTCATCACATTGGGAAAAGTGTCAAAGGACGCAGTAGCTCTCCCCTTTAGAGCCAAAGCCTCTACCTCATCGCCAGTCCTGTCCCCTGTTCTGCTAGTGTCGTGGAAGAGGTTCTGTTGCTGAGTCCCACTCTCCGTTATTCCCCTGTGAATCACAACTTCTGTAAGTCGCTGTTCTCAGGAAATCCTCATCCACCTTGTCTCCGGGGCACCTGCATGATGAGGCAGGTTATGTCTGACCAAATAGAGAATCATTGTGTATTTATGATGGATGCTAATAAATCCTTGAGAGAAGTTTGGGATTTCTGTTAAGTTGGTACATTTCAGAAGTATTTAAGGGTCTGGGGAACCATCTGGAAGGAACTATGCTGAGCCTCAAAGAAACATTTCCCTTTTCCTTCTTTTTCTTCATTATTTATTGTTTCTGCTCAGGAGAGCTAAGCAACCGCGTGTGAAGAAACTTCTCTGCCATCTTCATCTGAAAGTGGACAGCCATCCCTTAGTCTATGTCTGGTAGTTACTGAATCCCATGCTGAAACTGGTGCTGCAATGACAAATGAAAGTGACAGAGCCCTGCTCTCACAGCCCTTGGGAGGACATTTGACACTAAAGCAGTGAATGTGTAGGGTGTCTTATGGAAGGGATTCTGGGAAAAGAAAATGCCTTCGGGATGGAGAACAGGAGTATTAGTGAAGCCAAGGTTGCTGTGTTAATCAGAACGGTCCAAGACGTCTTACCACAGAAGCTGTTATCAGCAAAGACCTGGAGATGAGGCAAGGAGGTATCAGATCTCTGTGGGAGGGAGGTTCATGCCAGGCCAGGAGACTAGTTAGTAAGCAGGCTTGGCAGTGGGAGCATGTCTGGTAGGGAGGGAGCTGTGTGTCTGCAGAGAATAGACGGCAGCTTGGAGTCAGGGGCAAAGCACTGAGCTTGTGGGGCTTAAGAGAGTAATCAGACAATCTCTGTAACAGACTCACTGGAGCTTCTGAGTGGAATGGTGGGGGACGGGGAGAGGAGGCTGGGAGGATCCGAGGTAAGCTGGAGTTGCAAAGATCCAGGAAATAAGTGAAATACAGGGGGGACTATACTGTAACCCATGCTCCAGTGACTTGGACATGACAATGGACGCCTTCAAGAG